CGCAGGCACCCTCCCCTTAGATGCAGGCACGGCTTCCCCCATAACTCAGCTCTTCAGCGGCAGCGCCGGGCCCTTGTCTGTCACCCAGGTCCCCGAGGCTGACCGTGCCCTTCATCTGGCATGGACTGGGTCCTCCAAGGACATCCTTGGACCGGCCCAGCCATCTCCTCTCATCTTCTTGCCTTTGGTTTCTGGAGGCCACTGCCCCTAGAGGCGACATGGGCACCAGAATGGCCTGCAGGAGAAGGCGGGGAGCCCTGGGCAGAGGAGCTGCACAGGTCTGCAGTGACACTGGGCGGGCGAGCGCAGCCTGCGGGGCCTGACACCAGCCCAGGGTCACACAACAGCCTGACGTGTGTGATCAGAGCGTGCCATATCAGTCCCCAGGTTCCTTCGCCCAACAGCACTCTGCGCATGCGCACATCAGCCTCCTGGTCTCATTTTGGCAAAGCAAGTAAGTTTTAAATCGGGACTGATGAGTCTGGTGATGCATGCCTGCAGTCCCAGCTGCTCCAGAGGCTGAGGCAGGGGGATAGAAGGTTCGAGGCCAGCATAGGCAACATAGCCTGACCCTGTCTCGAAATAAAATAAAAAGGGCTAGGATGTAGCTCAGTACTAGAGACCTTGCTTAACATGCATGAGGCCCAGAGTTCAAGCCTCAGTACATAAAAAATAAAAATAAAAACCAGGGGTAAATTTCAGGACACTTCATTAAATCATTGTGAAACCCATCATTTATTCACCATTTTCAGATAACTGGGTTTCTTCACTTAACAACAAGAATTTTCTTATCTAAGCATTTTTATTTTCTATATTTGTGTTTTACAAAAATGACTTTGGCAGCTGAGGCCGTGTGTATGGTTGTGAAGGTTGCACACTGCACAAGGACACGCATTTAAAGAGTATTGTTCACATCTCAGACGGCAAAGATTTGCTTTTGTTGTGGGAATTTCCACTAGGCGGCAGTAAAGAGTCTTTTGGAAGGGCCTGGCTCTGGAGGAGGACAAAACTAGGGATGGGGAAATCACTTAGCCAGTCCAATTACCTGGAAGAGAGAAGAAGCGTAACTCTGGTAATGACGAAGGGGAAAGGTGCGTGAGATTGCTGAGGCAGATGGAGCCCTTGTGGTGACCAGGAGGGGAGAGGGTGGGGAAGGAGGGTAGGGAACTCCTGACAGCCTGGTCGGTCCCCGGTGCAGCCAAGTCCCAAGAGACATGGGAGGAGCAGATTTGGGGAGATGACTGATTGGGGCTGTGGTGAGTTTGATCTACCTGTGGAACCCGAGGGACACTGTCCAGGTGGCACAGGTGGAGCGGGAGGGACAGCCGCAGTCATACAGGCAGGCCGGTGGGAGCCAGGCCCGTGCACTAGATGGGACCTCAGAAAGCTGCAGAGCAGCGGGCACCCCCACTTCATGGGCAAGGCCAATGTGGGCAGGGAAGGAACAGAGTCTGAGGGTGGCCCCTCCATGTCGCCCATCCCAGCCCTACATTTAATGCTCTGTTTGCCATCGGAGGGCTGGAAAACCCAGTGTTGGTTTCAATTGTCTATAAAATGAGAAACAGACTCCCCAGATCACATGCATGGGCTTTACAGCATCCCTTTGGCTGAAGACGCTTTTCTAACCTCTCGGCCACATCCCAGCCGGCTCCGAAAGGAGGGCCCGCGGCAGGCGCCCATGGGCTTGCACAGCAGTCTCGGTCTCCCTGAAACATTTGCAGTAAAACCAATTTGTAAAAATCCATTTTCCTATGAATCACCAAGGTATGAGTTCTTTTGTCCCCAGGATCCATAAACTCGCTCAAGAATGTAGCAAACTTTTATCATTCCTATGGACATAATAACATTTGAAACTGAATGGTTACTATTATTTCAGACATAGAAATGATGGCCCTGTCCAAAGGCATCCAGACTGAACATCTAGAAAACATAAAAATTATTTGATCTAGATTATATACATGTGTAATGTTTTTTGGGGGGGTACCAGGGATCAAACTCAGGACCTTGCGCCTGTGAGGCAGGCACAGTGCCACTGAGCTAAATCCCTGGCCTTGTACATGTGTAATGTTGAGAAGAGTTTCTTTGTTTTCGTGTGTGTGTGTGTGTGTGTTGTTGTTGTTGTGTTTGCTTAGTTGGTTGGTTGCTTGGTTCCTTGGTTGCTTGGTTTTTTGAGACAGGGTCCTGCTCAAGCTGGACTCAAAGTCAAAATGCTCCTGCCTAAGTCTCTTGAGTGCTGAGATTACAGGTATGCACCACCGTGCCTAGCAAGAAGTTTTTAAAGAAGAAAAAGTCCTACTCCTTTTGCACTAGAGTAGACAATCGAGGTTTTCTTTGTCACACAATATTTCGGCAGGGTTATTTCAAGAGCCAGGTACACTTTCTCTAAGCCTCACAGTGGGGCCTACGCTGCGTCCCAAATCACTGCCTTTTAGTCTCTTCCTGTGTTGCCTTCGATTCCTGCAGCTTCACAGTCTGGGAATCTAATGCCTGTGCCTCTGTCTCACAAGCTGAAAATAACCTGAACTTCCTCGGGTGCTTCCTGGAGGCCCCAAGTATGCAGGGTTCCCCTGAACCTTCCTCACAGACTCAGGGTGGACTTGATCCCTAACTGCAGGGAACCAGAGGAAGGCAAGTGATGGGCCAAGACGCTAAAGTCAGGTCAGCTGCTCAGAAACTTTAAATTAGGTTGATCCTCCTTCCCATCCAGAGAGGGGTGGATGGAGTGCTCCCTCCTCCCAGGTGTGGACCCCAGAAAGGTCAGGTCCTGGGATGTGCAGGTGCAGCACACCCCACTGTGGAGCCACAGTCCTCTGCAAGCCCGTCTGGGAAGGCTGTGTCGCCACACTGCCACTCGCTCTGCATCGCTTTTTGGGCAGCAGCCTGAATGCGTCAAACCAAATTATCTACCATGGCATTAGCTTCAAACACTCTGTTCCATTGTCCCAGAAATATGCTCATATGTCTCAAACTGCAGTGCCCCAATTTTTGATGGAGAAAACAGTCACTGTATAAATGAGTGATTGGTAAACACAATATTCATTGCTTAATAATCAGGGAAGAATGTGAGAATGAATTTGCAGTGATTTAGCACTTTACATTATGGAAATGCCACATAAATATTTAAGTCTAATGTTTATTTTATTCTAATTTTTTGTTAATCACATTTGCTTAGTTAATATGGCATACTTATGCCAAGCTTTTATTATTGCCATAGATTTTGTGAATGATGGCAATTTCATGTGCTGTTTTATTTGAAATTAGGTTGATTGTAAAGCCTTATACAGAATTGCCTGTTAATTTTAGGAATTAGTAGTTATGTTATTGTACCAGCAAATCTCCTCAGAACACACCCACACCTCCCTACACACACACACACACACACACACACACACACACACCATATTCATGCAAATGCACATACACACACTTTTCAATGAGACGATGTACTGGTGTGTTGCCTCCAGCTTTCTAAGGGAAGAAATTTTTCTTTAAAGTCTCATTCATACTTTTTTAAGGCAGACAAATTTGATTTAGCAGAACACCCTTCTAAAATTGAGGAAGAGGCCAGGCGTGGTGGTGCACACCTGTAATCCCAGCACTCTGGAGGCTGAGGCCAGAGGATCACTACAAATTCGAGGCCAGCCTGAGCTATATAGTAAGTTCAGGGTAGGCCTGAACTACATAGCAAGACCCTGTCTCCAAAAAATATTAAATTAAATTAAAAAGAAAAAGAAGGGCCGGGGATTTAGCTCAGTGGTTTCGCCACCTGCTGCTCAAGCGCAAGGACCCGAGTTCGATCCCCAGTACCAAAAAGAAAAAAAAAAAGAAGCCAAAATAAAAACAAAGAGGATTAGGGAAAACACAGAGGTGGTATAAACCACTTCTATAGATTTTTATTAGTTGATCCCAAAATTTTGATAGCATATAAAATAGCTTTGGGAAAAATCTCTTTTATTTGCATTTTCACATTTACCAAATCCCATGTTTGTTAAAACCAGAGCCATGCTTGAGTCCTCAGGGACATGTGGAAGACCGCTAGGCCCCAACAGGCCTTCCTGCCCCACACTCATGGGTGTCACCTTTAGTAATTTGCTTTTCAGTTAATCATTCCCTATCCTATAGTCTTAATCTATTCTTTCCATCCATTTTGCTGTAGGACAGAAGGAACCTGGGACATCAAGCAAAGGGGAAAAGGAAAATCTAAAGGGAAACCCAATGGGTACCAAAGACAAACTTTACCTACATTGTTCTTCCCCTCAGACTTGGCCCTACTCTCTGTAGACTGACATTTGGGTCCTGTGTTAGGATTCTGTATTGGTCAGCACTTAGCTGGGTATGGTGGCACATACCTATAATTCTAGCACTCAGGAGACTGAGGCAGGAGGATTGTTATGAGTTCAAGACCAGACCGAATTACATAGTGAGACCCTGTCTCAACCCACCCATCTCCCTGAAAAACCACTCATTTCTGCTGACTGGCTTAAACAAGAAAACTTATTTCATTGTCGTACAAAAGAAGTTTAGAAAAGGCAGTACACAACTCCTTGGTCAGATTTCAGTAGGCACATCCTCAGTTCATGAATAGGAAGGGAAGAAGGTCATAGACCCTTCATTAGCAGGCCCTTCCCAGAAGCCCCAGACAGCACGACTGCTTGCCTTCCACTGGCCAGAGCTCAATCACATGGTCACACTTACCAACAAGGGAGGATGGGAAATGTAGTCTTTGTTATGGGCTCAGCAAAAAGACAATATACTAAGGAAAAAGAGGGAGACTTACTGTTGAGAAACACTTAGACTTTGCCACTGTAACCTATGTGACGTCTTGCTAAATATTGTATTTACCTATAACCGGAGTCCATTTCAGCTTTTTGGATTTCTTTCTAACCCAGGCATAAAAATCACAAATGAGTAAATGTGGTCAAACTCCAAGGCCAATTCTAAAGAAAATGAGTTCAAACCCGGTTCTATGATTGTCTGTGAATACTCCCTTGTAATTTCAGCGGAAATCCTAGAATTGGCCGGAAATGCCGCAAGGGACAACAAGAAGGCACGGATAGCCCCGAGACACATCCTGCTGGCTGTTGCCAATGATGAGGAGCTCAACCAGGTATGTCTGAAGCTGAAGCACAGGGATGGCATAGGGTGGGTCTGCCAGGCATGCTTCTGCAGGTGGGCCCACTGGCCGCAAATCACTCCTGCAACAATTCCCAAACACACACACACACACACACACACACACACACACACACACACACTCACTCTTACTTACTCAGACCAGGTCAGAGAAGAACAAGTTCTACCCTGTCATTCAGAGTTAAATCAAGTTGCTCTGAATAGTTCCCATTATGCGTTCTGGGTCTTGCCAGACCTTCCTTTCCTTATTAGAGACAAGTTCTGTGCACATAGTTCCTTTCAGTTTTTTCACCCAAAGCATGTTGATGATTTATTTCCATGAGAGCAGAATCCTCGCTTATATACTAGAACTGACCCTTTCCAATTTGGAATTGACTCCAAAGTCAAGTGAATGCCCTCTTGCCCTAAGACATGCAAGGTGAGGGATAAATAGTGTAAGACTTTTTATTGATATTTATTTTCTAATCTCATTCTTCTCAAACTTTGGTGAAGAATTGGTTTTTATGGCCAATCCATCATAGATTGATGATTTCAAAAAAATGTAATAAAAATTGACTACTAGTAAAGTAAAAAAACAAAGACATACAAACTACAACCCACAGTTTTTTGTTATCAGATTCAGTAGCTGTAAAATAACTCTTGTGAATTTGCTATGAAAGTTTCTAGAACATTTTTCACAATGTCAGTGCTTCTCTCCTCCTGGATGGGTAACTTACACATTAGGGATGAACTGAGGTCTCGAACAATACTGGAATGATGCTGCTCTAGGAGAGACAGGCTAATTAGTGTAGCAGTACATGTCAGTTATTTGCAAATAAATAAACCTATCTATTAGGAAGTGCATGGTTAAACGGTATGTTCCTGATGTACATGTTCAAGGATGTGCAGACCGCTGGTGAGTCATGAACGTGAAAGGGTCTAGTCCCCGTGTTGACCTATGAGCCCAGTGTCGTCCAGCTGTGTTCTCCCTCTGTGAAGCCCTTTATCCTCCTGTCATCTGGAATTCCAGCGCCACAAGCAGCCGTCCCTGGCTTCAACTTCTATAACCCTTTTATTTTGTTTTGTTTTGCTTTGCTTTCAAGTCCAAGATCATAGGATCCTTGATACCGACAGAGAAATACTCCATAAGAAGAGAAAGCCAATTAAGTTGTGTATTCTACCATTTCTGTAAGACAGCAAAGACCAGACTTAAGCCTCATTTTCCCAACAGTTACAATTGTACTAAATCCTGATCCGGTGAGGTCTTTGCTGCTGTGTGATGCTTCCATTTCTCTCCTCAGCTGCTGAAGGGAGTGACTATCGCCAGCGGAGGTGTCCTGCCCAGAATTCACCCCGAACTGCTGGCCAAAAAGCGAGGGACCAAAGGCAAGTCGGAAACGATCCTCTCCCCACCCCCAGAGAAAAGAGGAAGGAAGGCCACGTCAGGCAAGAAGGGGGGCAAGAAAACCAAGGCTGCCAAGCCACGGGCATCCAAAAAGGTGAGCCAAGGTGTATCCGTGGATCCCTGCTAGGGTCTGCCTGCTATGTCCCCCAGCTCCCAAGGGACTGGATAAGGAAGTGAGGCCTTTGGGAGGTAATGAGATCACAACAGCAGAGCCCTCATACTTGAGATCAGTGCCCATATAAAAGGAGCCTGAGGGAGCTTGGTCACCATTTCCATCACATGAGCACACAGTGAGAAGGCATCCTGCGTGAGGAAGCAGGCCTCACCAGACATGGAATCTGCTGGAGCCTTGATCTTCAACATCCCAACCTCCAGAAATGGGAGGAATACTTGTCTGTTGTCCGTAAAGCACCTGGGCCGTGGTGTATCATTGTAGAAGCCTGAGGAGACTAAGAGACCCACAGAATGGGAGGGAAGTTGCAGGCTGAAATTGTGAGGGGGCTCTACAAATGCATCTCTGAAAGACTGAAGACCCTGCAGCTTGGTGCTGGGAAAAGTGATGAGAATGTATATGTAGAAGAATAAAGGCCTTTGAGATTAAAGCTCAAATGATTAAACAACTGTACTAGAGATTTCCAAACCCAAACCATGGGTAGTTTTCAGATCCTTTTGCCTGTGTTAATCAGCTTTCCATAGCTGTGACAAAACACCTGAGATAATCAACTTAAAAGGGGGTAAAGTTTATTTGGGATCATAGTTTCAGAGTGTTTGTCCATAGTCACTTGGTCTCATCACTTTGGGCCTGTAGCCAGGCATTACACCCTGGCAGGAGCACAAATGGAACAGAGCTGCTCCCTTCATGGCAGCCAGAAAGTAAAGAGAGAGAGACGGGGCCAGGTCCCACTACCCCCTTCCAGGCCATGCCCCCAGTGACCTCACTTCCTTTTACCAGGCTCTCCTCTTAAAGTTTCCTCCACCTCCCAACAGCACCACAAGTTAGTGACTAAGCCCTTGGGGAACATTTAAGATTTGAACCAGAACCCTGCCCCCACTGAAGTTGTAAGTGAGAGACATAGCTGGAACCCTGCTTCTCCTTTCTCCACGGAGGCCCATGTTGTGTGCTAACCCATCTCTAGTCTCCCATAGATGGTTTGGCTGATGGGTTCCAGGTGCTTCGGGTAGCTTGCTAAGTGACATCATCTGTGGAGTAGTATTTTCCTGGGACACCCAGGACAGTACCCTCTAGGCCCAGGTGGATGTTGAAACTTAAAATTAAGCCATAGAGGGGCTGGGGATTTAGCTCAATGGTTTCGCTGCCTGCTGTGCAAGCGCAAGGACCCGAGTTTGATCCCTGGTACCAAAAAAAAAAGCCATAGTAAAAAAAGTTCAGGTCCTTGATTGCATGAGCCCCATTTTAAGTGCTCAGTAGCACTAAACAGCAGAAACAGAGCATTGCCGTCACAAAAAGTTCTGTTGGACAGCAGGACTGCCTTAGAGGTTGTGAAGTTTTCACTCCACCGACCTCCATAACAAAAACAACAACAACAACAACAACAAAATCAAAGGGTTCATGCCACTGCTACTGGGCACAGGGGAAATCCTGGGGAGAAGGGAGGCTCAGCAAGTCACTGTGAACCACCCCACTTGGCTCTGATGTTTATCATCATAAAGGCAGGGCTAGAACAATGCACCTGTGTCCAGATCTGGATGAGGGCTACAGGGACATGTGGTCCCTGTATGCACTTCAGATTGCTCTTCCCTCCATCAAGGAACAGCAGAGGACTACGGGGGTAACTCCATGGTAGAGCACATGTGAGTATGCGCAAGGCCATGGGTTCAATCTACAGCATCAAAGGAAAAGAAAGAAACCAGAACCTAACACCTGGCCACTTCCTTCCATATTCAAGTTAGTGGCAGCCAGGGAAAGAACTTAGTACAGCCACCTTGGTCTTACTCTGGATTGTTTTTCATTTGTCCTTCTGATTTTTTTTTTTTACCAACAGTCCAAAGCAAAGGACAGTGATAAAGAAGGAACCTCAAATTCCACCTCTGAAGATGGGCCAGGGGATGGGTTCACCATCTTGTCTTCTAAGAGCCTTGTTCTAGGACAGAAGGTAAAAAAGAGAGCCATAATGTGCTGTCGTATAATAACAATACATTGTTATTACTTACTGTTTACAGCAATGATGCCGCCTTCAACCCTTGTTCCCTTAATATGACTTTCACTATAGTCTTGAATTATTCATTTTTAAACTAAAGAGCTATAATGATTTCTGCATTGTGAGAGTGAACAAGCCCTTTAGTGCTGAGAATCATTCACACTGACGGTGGTCAGACAAATTTAAGCACAGAGAATGGTCTGTAAACAGGATGTCATTACTAGTTTTGCTGGGAATTCCCCAGGTCCCGGTTATTTCTGTACCCACCAAAATAATCCATAGCTAACCATCTCCAGCAGTCTCAGAGAGGCCTCCTCCCATGGTTCAATGTAATTTATCAGAGAAAGAAAATAGAAATAAATGTTTCCTGAATGTCCCCGTGTTAGAAATGAATTATTTGCCAATAATTCAGTCTGCTTGCCTTCCTGGGCAACAGAAAGAAAACAAACAGGGCTATACATTTGAACAGTCTCCAGCAACACAACAGCAGCCCAGCCAGACATGCAAATAATTCATTCCCACGGGCATAAAGTTTACTGAGCAGACAATTTATCTACCAAGTCAACTGGGGCTGAAATAAGATACATGAGGAAATAGTCAGTTAATCATATCTCTGGCCACTGAACATTTGCAGCCTGACAGTAGAGTGCACCTCTGTTCAAGCACCTGGGAGAGCATGTTCTAAGAGGAGCACAAATGTGCGGGTTCCTAATTCATCACTGATGGAAGAGAACAGGGAAGCAAGAAGTGGAATTTATGTTTCCTCCAGGGGCCATCCATGCTTACATGATTATTGGCTTTCTCTCATACTTACCTAGGGAATCGTAAAATTCTTACCCACATGGGGAAATGATGGAGAATGTCTTTCACTCTACTCTGCTACAGACATACAGGACAACCCCAAGAACGTGGTCCCCAAAAGTCAAGGTGGCCAGATGTAGGCAGATAGGAAACCCAGAGCCCATGACTTCCCCCCAGTGAAATAGTTGGGTTCGGTGCCCTATCCCAAAAGTTCTGGGCTGCTCCAGGGACCAGAGACCAAGCCCTGGGCCTCTCTCCCTCGCAGGAGCTACTCAGAGAATGTGCTACCAAAACCCAGAGCCGTCAGGGTTGGGAATCAAAGGCATAAACTATAAGGAAAAGAAAGAAGGGGGAGCTCCCATGCCTGTTCCCAGGAGAGCAGGCAGATTTGTTGCATGCAGTTGGACTCAAGGTGAAAAATCAAGTCCGCTGAGCTCAAATGAGCCTACTGCAAACCAAACACCTGGGAAACTTGAGCCTGTGGCTATCCATAGCCCTCCTACCGGTGATCAGTATGAGTAATTGAGAGAATTAGTAGCTGTCAAGTAAAATATGAAGATTTTCGACGGGACTGAATGTTTTGCATTTTTTCTTCCTAACTCAGCTGTCCCTGACCCAGAGTGACATCAGCCATATTGGCTCCATGAGAGTGGAGGGCATCGTCCACCCAACCACAGCTGAAATTGACCTCAAGGAAGATATAGGTAAGGTCCTGGGACTTCAGGAGTGGTGCTGTGGGACAGCAAACTGTTCAGGCAGGTTCTCACAGTGTCAGTCACTCTCCACTACTTGGGGTCTCCTGTCACACTCTGTGTGTAATTAATGGCATCACTAGAGAGGAAATTTTGTTTATTTCTGCATATAGCTTATGAATTTCATACTGAAATTTGTTATATATGGAGAGATTATTAGAGTAGAGCTTGATAAATTTTTTCAAAGTGAATATCACTGTGCATCCAGCACCTAGCTCAGGATGCTGGTCTTTCCCAACATCCCAGAAGGCCTCCGAGCCCCTTCATGACCATTATTTCCTCCAGAGGTAACCACTCTCGTATCTCTAATAGCATGGAAGGTTTCTTCTGTTTGGAATGTTGTTCAGATGAAAGCAGGTAGCCCTCTGTGCCTGGCTCTTTTTGCTCAGTGTAGTGCTTGGTTGGGAAGTCCATCCATGATGTTGAAGGTGGTTGTGTTCGTTCATTTTCTTTGCTGTGTGGTACTATGCTATGAAAATGCCATGATTTATTGATTCATTCTACCATTGATGGCATTTGGGTAGTTTCCAGATGGGACTATCAGGAGCAGTGCTGTTATAAATGTTGTACATTTATATGCATTGGATTAAACATCACATACATTGTAAGATTAAATATTGAGAATGCTATTGATAAAAGAGACATCTAGAAAAAAGTAGGTGTTCCATAAGACTGTAAGCACTGAGTTATTTTCCTAGTGGCTTGCCACCTGTCTCGTGAGTGGGGCAGGGAGGTGTCACTAGGTGAAGTCAAGGAGCTGGGAGGTAGGTAAACTTTCAAGGGCACTGGGAATAAGCTAGACAATCACCATCTCATCCATTTGTCACCACCTAGAACTGCCCAAAGGTATCCATGGAAAGGGTGAAGTGATCAGAGAAAATACTTTGTCTTGGGACACAGGGCTGGCCACTGAGGGGGCTGCAGGCAGGAGCCAGCAGCTCAGCCCCCGGTAGTGGCACCAGGACCGCAGCTGCTGGGCTCACTCAAGGCTTCTCCTAGCATCAGAGGGCACTTGCTCTGCTGAAAGGAGATAGGAGGCACTGGGGGATGACAGCCGCAGAGACACAGGACTTCCTTTGCACACTAAGAGGCAAGGACAATTCCTTCCTCACCCTTTACAAATGCCAGGCCCTGCTCTCTCCTCAAAGGAAGGGCTTCCCCTAGTTCCCAAATTCCATCTGATAGGTGTCCTAGCTTCTCCCAAGGTGCCATGTTCCTGCTTTATACTAAATGTGATTTTTAAAAAACAGTGAAGTTTACATTTAGAAAAAAGATTACAGTAAAAGACACATTGCCATTAACCTCTCCTCAAAATGTTTCCCCGCATTTCAAATACACTTATTCCCTTGTTCTTGACATTTTCTGAAACAGTTCTGGAAGTCCTCTCTCTGTAGTTGTGCTGTTGTGGCTGCCTTAATGTCCTGAATCAATTCAAAACCTTTACCTTGCATGGTCATTTTGACTTTTGAGAAGAGCCAGAAGGCGCATGGTCCCAGATCTGGTGAATAAGGTGAATGAGGACACACTGTAATGTTTTTCGAGCCTGCATTTCCATTGGATGGCACTCAGCAACAGCATTCCCTATACTTTCGAGCAAACTTTGTAAAGACCTGAAAGAAGACTTCCAGAACTGCTTCATACAGTGGCAGGAATAATGGGACAAGTGTGTTCAAAACAAGAGGGACTGTTTTCAGGAGGACTCATGACAATGCATCTTTTACTGTAATAAACTTTGTAAACACCATATTTTTTTATCAGCCCTTGTACATTGCTACGGTGTTTGCATTTTATATCAGAAAAACAATAAAGATGCTTCTTTTTTTTAAGTAGCAGTGTGATAGGATAGAGAGAGTGCTGCTATTGGACTAAAACTTCAAGCTCAGATCCCACTGATGAATTCTAAGGGCAGCTTTACAGGGGCCTTGGGAGGCATGGGCTGAAAGGTGGCCAGATGGTGAAAAAGCAGGTCCTGAGCCTGCCTGGTCTGTGTCCTGGCTTTGACAAATCACTGCCTCACTGTGTGACCTTGGGAAGTTTTCTTAACCTCTCTGAACCTCAGTTTCCTCATCTGTGTAACTGAGGGTAACAATAGCATGTGTCTCATAGGGGTTCTATGCAGATTAAAGAAGTGACACATGTATGAGGCTTAGCACAGTGTGGGCTCAGAGGCATCTGATAATCGATAGTCTGTCTTACTGTTGCTGTGTTAGTAGGAGACCCTCCTCTCATGATTCTCTTCTCCACCAATACACAACCCAATCATCCCATGCAGATAAGGCCCCCATTTATTACTGTGAAACATTACGATGGGCTGGAGGTGTAGCTCAGTGGTGCTGAGCATGCGTAGGAGATGTAGCTCATCTCATTGCCTAGCATGCATGAGGCCCTGGGTTCAGACCCTAGCTCAGAAATTAATTAATTAATCAATTAATTAAAACTAAGAAGCTGCTATCCCCGGTACCAAAAAAAAACCAAAAAAACAAAAAATTAAGAAGCTGCAAGTGTAGCTCAGTGTTATAGCATGTGCTTAGCATGCAGGAGGCCCTAGGTTCAGTCCATTCCCAACATCCCAAGAAAAATTATTACAGAAAAGTTCAAGTATATGTACTTACCAAAAAAAAGCAGAAAAATCTAATGAAACCCCACACAACCAGATGCAATAATCACTTGTAAGTGCTGACTGTGTTTCAGCTCTTCCCCTCCACATACTTCCAGACAATCTCTAAAAGATAGGGGCTGTTTGTTAACAGTATAAACACAATACCATTATCACACCTAACTTCAGTAACAAATAACCAGCATTCAAATTCCAATTGCATCAGAAATGCTAATTTTTTAAGTTTATTTGATTTAGGATCCAAATAAACCCACATACTGCAGTAGGCTGATAAGTCTCTTACCCCAGAAGTTCCCCTTAATGTATGTCTGTCTGTCTGTCTCTCTCTCTCTCTCTCTCTTTCATTTCTTTGAAATTTATTTGTTGAGGAAGCAAGGCCATTTGTCCCATAGGGTCTTGCTCTCTCTTTCTTTCAATAAATTGGTAATTGGATCTAAAAGTTTCATGGGATTCAATTTCAAGAAATTGGGGGATGTGGTGTAGCTCAATGGTAAGACACTTGCCTAGCATGTGCGAAGCTCTGGCTTCAATAGCCAGCACAAGAGTGCTCGGTCAGGGTCAGCAATGTAATGTTTTTGCATCAGGAGGCACATGATGCCTGATCATCAGTCTTTGTGTGATGTTAGCTGCCATCAGCGCCTTCATACTCTAATCCTGGCGTTCCTTCATTCTTCCCGGAAATGCTTCCATAGAGAGGAGCTCCTCATCAGCTCTCCACGCTGCTTTATTCTTCGAAGTCTTCAGTGAAGACAGTGAACCCATCTTGCCTTCCCCACATCTCCATTTGGCCCCTGACCTGAACACAGGGTACAGAGCTTACACCTATTCCTCTGCTTCTCAGCATGAACTGCTACCAGCTTCAGTTACTCGGCCCTTTCCAGACCTCTGGAAAAGACCCAGCAGATAACACTGGCCAGGAGTCTGGTGATAGAGCCACTTGATGTGGCCCATGATCATTTCCTAGTTGTGCCATTGAAACCAAAGCACACTCAGGAAGAGTCCCTTCCACAGCCCAAGGGAGAATGACTTCCCGAGCAGACGTTGTCATCAGTGAACTATTCGATGTAGCATGGCTGTCCAAAAATACTTGAGTGCCTCAGTGTGTAGAGAGAAAATTGTCACCCAGGAAAGCCCCTGAACTAGATAAGAGTAATAGTAGTAACAATAATACAGGCTGAGTACCCTTTATCTGAAATGCTTGGGACCAGAAAGGTTTCCGATTTTAGAGTTTTTCAGATTTTGTAGTGTTTGCATAGATATGATGAGGTAGAGAGGGAATCCAATTCTAAATATATTATCAGTTTCATACATACCTTATCCACAGGCCTGAAGGATTTTACACTGTATTTTGAGCACATGTGAGTTTTGATTCTGACCCAGCAGTCACCTGAGAGCAGGTGTGGAATTTTCCATGTTGGTGCTCAAAAAGTTTTGGATTTCAAATTCTCAGATCAGGGGTGCTCAGCCTGTGGTAATAACTAATCAAGAGAGAGAGCAGAGACCTGGCCCAGACAGCGAGCTCCCCAAGTGCATGAGAAGATGAGAACGGAGGGGAGTGAGCACCTCATCTCTCAGTCTGGACAGACCCCGTGTTATCTGAGGCGTGGGAGTGGGGATGAGGACAACCACGTGGCTTCTTCTCGTCCCTTACAGGCAAAGCCTTGGAAAAGGCTGGTGGCAAAGAGTTCTTGGAAACAGTCAAGGAGCTTCGCAAATCCCAAGGCCCTTTAGAAGTTGCTGAAGGTAAGTGTGGGATGGGCCCCTATTCCCAGCATTACTTCACCTTATTCTTTTTTGGTTTTGGTTTTGTTTTTTTGAGACAGGGCCTCAGTGTGTACTTCAGGCTGGACTTGAACTCACTATGTAGCCCAGACTGGACTTCAGCAATCCTCCTGCCTCAGCTTCCCAGAGTGCTGGGATTCTAGGCATGGGCCACCATGACCAGCCCCACCTTATTCTCATCTTCATGGAGTCTCCAGAGAAACTCACCTTGTGAATAGTAATGCAGGCGACAAAATATGGCATAACAAATCAGAAAGCTATTTTAGCATGTCTCCGACTATTTGAGCAGACTGGTATGGGTCATTTCATATGCTCTGGGGACTCTATCTGAATAGTTCATGTCCACATGCCCAGATCCCCCAAACATGGTCTACAGCCACTGTGTTAATTTTTGTGTGCACAGTAAAATACATATAAATTTACTATTGTAACCATTTCAAAGTGTCTGATTCGGTGGCATTAAGTACTTTTTCAATGTTGTGCAGCCACCACCACTATCTAACCACTATCCAGAGGCTTTTCATTGTCTCTAACCACTATCAAGAGGCCTTTCATCTCCCCGGCAGAAGCCTCATGCCATTAGAGTCATGCCCTCCTCTCCCAGCCCCTGGCAACCTCTGATCTACGCTCTAGCTCTCTGGGCCTGCCTGCTCTGGACATCTCATATAAATGGACTCACACCCTGCGTGGCCCTTTCGTCTGCCTTCTTTCGCTCAACATAGTGTTTTTTAAGTTCATCCACACTGTAGCACACATCCATGCTTCACTCCTTTAGGACTGATTCTCCACTGTGTGTATCCATCCGTTGATGGGGATTCGGCTCATTTCCACCTCCGGCTCCCATGAGTAGAGCTGCTGTGATCATTTACACCCAGGTTTCTGTGAGGTAACTTTCTGGCAGGTGCATCCAATGTCAGGGCCCGTTCCCACCACACATCCCTACCAGGACGTTAACTGTACACACAGTCTGTGGCAAGAGACTGCACTAAAGCAAGGGCCTCGGAGATCAGTGGAACCCACTGCTGCCCCGGGTGCATGAGGGCAGCACAGAGAGGGGGCCATGGCCTCTGTGGGGGGTTGGGGAGGATGTTGTGTGGAAGGAGCCTCATGTGGGCTGTGGTCATGGGCAAGCAGGAAAGAGAGAAAGAGCAGCCAGAGGTGATGCCGAACCTACAGGCCGTGCAAAGGGGTCTGCTCTGACTGTGTACAGACCAGAGAGGCCACCTTGAAGTTAAGCGGGGGGCTGTCATGATCAGAGGAGGTTGTTAGAAAAGTAAGGGGGGATTCCAGTCAAGAAAGAATATGAGGGGCCGGGGATTTAGCTCAGTGGTGCCGCCACCTGCCTCAAAAGTGCAAGGTCCCGAGTTCTATCCCTGGTACCAAAAGAAAGAACATGAGTCCATACTTTAAATCTGTACATACCACTCCCCATAGATGCAATGATAGGTGAAATTTCCTTTTTTAAATTTTAAGACAGCCACACTCAAATATAAGATAAGCATAGTTGTGGATGGAAATAGAAAAACTGTGAGCAAGTCAGACATGGTGGCACACACCTGTAATCCTAGTACTTGGAAGGCTGAGGCAAGAGGACCTCCATGAGTTTGAGGCGAGCCTGGGCTACAGTGAGTTCAGGGACACCCTGAACTACATAGCAAGACTCTGTCTCAAAAAATGAAAAAAAAGAAAAGAAAAGAAAAATGATGGGCAGCAGCAACAGGGAAAGAAAGTCACAGGCCCAAGCTGCCTTAGCTCTTACTTCGTAATGGACCAGAGTTGCTTCTTGCTTAGGGACCACAGCCAAGCTTTGAGCTACCGCTCAGAGTAAAGGGCTGGATAAAACTCACACAGGGGTCAGGGATGCAGCTCAGTGGCACCACACCTGCCTCATAAGCGCAAGGTCCTGAGTTCGATCTCTGGTACCAAAAGAAAAAAAAAACAAAAAACTTGCACAGCCTTTCAGGAAGCCGAAGCTCTGAGCACCACTCAGGGCTGTGGTTTTTGTAAAATCTGCCTTTCTAAGAAAGAAGAAGGGGACAGGGAGCCCCTTCCCCAGGTCCAGGGCCCACTCACCTCGATGTCTGGATGGACCACCTCACCCATCAGGAGAAATTAGACATTTCTGGCTGTGCTTGGACCAGGACCCTAGGGGAGGCTCCCGGCAAACACCCTGACAGCTGAGGGGTGAGAAATAGCTGCCCTGCCCGCCACAGAGTGAGAGACTCTGACGAACTTGTAAACAGAGCCCCAGAGGCAGAAAATAGAAGGTAGGGCCGAAGTATTTAAGGAGACCATAGCTGAGAATTTTCCAGAATTAAACATGAGTCCTAGGTTGAAAATATGTATCATAATAAATTCAAAACCTGGCCCATCATAGTGAAGTTTCAGAAGCTCAGAAACCAAGAGAACCCTGAGAGAAACAGGAGGGGACAGGCGGATCATAAAAGTAAGGACACTTTAGGGCCAGGCCATGCTCAGTGGTAAAGTGCTGCCTAGTATCCATGAGCCCCTGGGTTCCATGCCCAACAACACACCCAAAGAAGGGAGGGGGAGGAGCCGCTGTAATGACACCCATCTCCTTATCAGCAACCAAAGACACTTGGAAACAAGAAAAACGCCTTCTAAGTGCTAAATATCTACAAAGTACCATCAAACCAAAATTCCATGTTTCTGTGTTGTCATTCAAGAGTGAGGGTAATTCCAGACATGCAAAAGCTAAGAGGCAGCCGGAAGGAACCAGAAGGGAAGGAGAAGGCTGCAGGAAACAGTGAGAAATCAAGAAGCTGGCACAAATGCATTAGGTCTAAGTCTGGGTCCGTTAGGGGTAGCATCCTGGAAAGAAGGAAAAGAGAGACAGTTCATAGGGTTCTCACATCATATTTCATTGAATTTAAAAACACCATCAGTTCTAAGATATGCCCTTATTGTATGTATCACTAAGAAAGAGTGAATTTCCAAAATGGGGTTGACATTCAGTTCAAGATATGAATCCAGCACAGCAAGGACATATCTTGAAGTTGGTATTTGAGTGGCAGAAAGTGCGTAAAAAGCCTCACTAGTGAATTAGAAGCACAAGCCAGTATTTCTTCAGATTTGCAGCTGAATCCAGTGCTGCCTAAAACCTCAGGGATGGAGAAGTTAGTGGGGTGTGACTTCCATTTGTTAGTATCCCCAGATGACATAGAAGGAAATGCAAGATTTTTTCTGGAAGAACTCAGCTTTACTCCAAGCTAGCAGCAATTGTAAAATGTATCCTAATCTCAAAGATAATCAAGTAAAATCAATAAAAAGATATTAAATGGGCTGGGAATGTAGCTTAGTAGTAGAGTACTGCCTAGCATGGGCAAGGCCCTAGGTTCCATCCCCAGCACTGAAAAAAAAAAAAAAGATATTAGAAAGGATTTTTAAAGTGCATCTTAACATGGGTAAAACAGACCAACTATAGGGCAGGCCTGTGCTGATGGGGGAGGGGAGGGATCAGGAGGCGATTTCAGGAGCAGTACTAAAGAGAGGCTGTGATGGCCACATAGTCTGAAAGGGAAGCTGAAGGTGGATCTCGGATTTGCAGATTGAGCAAGTGGATGCAAAGTCAAACTCAGTGAATATTTGAGCTCCTGCCCTTCCAGATGCTACACTGGGAGCCAGGGAAGCATCAGGGAATGCAGTAAGCAGCTCCATGAAGATGTCCTCTGGGTCAGAACCATCTACAACAGGCTTAGGCTGATGGCACTGAATGTGGATGTGAATGTCCCTAACACTCCTCCAAGGCCTTTACAAGCTGCTGTGGAGACCAGGGCAACACAGCGCATCAGATAACCCAATGAGCTGCCTGTTTCGTGGTGGAGGTTCAGAGAGAATGGATGAGGGAGCTGTGGAGAGAAGACAGCCAGAGCATGGGGGCGGAAGAGGCACTGAGCCCTGCATGTACAGCTGGCTGGGGGATGACTGGACTTCCCACATGAGCAGGAAGTGATGGGTCTCAAAGGAAGAGGGACCAGAGCAGGAAGGGCTGCCAGTGAGGCAACGAGGAGCAGCCACAGATTCTGGGTTTAAATGTGGAGTTTAAGGACCAGACTCAAGCAACCGTACAGAGGATGGCTTGGCAGACAGGGGGCGGAGGCTAGGAGAGTAGCCAGAAAGCTGGATTGGACAAGAATGGGGTGGTAGAGGAAATGCAGCAGACTGGCCCCAAATGAGACAAGCCGAAGGAACTCAACTAGTAGTAGTGCCAGAGATGGGCAAAAGGGATAGATTTTGGAAGTGAATGATGACTTTGGTGGTGTACACTGGGATCAACAGGCAGGAAGCAGAAGCTGATGTGGGAAACAGGCACCAATAGAAGGAAAAGTGGTGTCACAGAGACCAAGGATTAGGGTAGCAGCCCCGAGCAGGTCAAGGAGCCACCAGTCCCCCTTTGTTGTGGTGACTCCTAGGAACATGTCAGGCCTTCCATACAGTGATGATTGCCCAAAGGAAGGTTCTAAAATCTCCTAGCAACAGCACCACCATTCTCAGAACCCAGGTCCTCACCAGGTGAAGGGGTTCACGACAGGATGTGACATCAGAAAGAGGTCACTTGAGTCATTCTGTTAGTAGGTACTTACACCAAATGCCAGTGTCATAACCTTGTGATTCCTTGACCCTTGTCCTTGCAACTCTAGATCACTGTGAATGACTGTGGCAAGAGGCCCTGTCTTCCATTTCCAGTTGTCATGGAAATCCTTTGCTTTGGGTTGAAGTGTTGTCTAGGTTACCTTCAAAATCATTTTTTCTTGATTCAATTTTCACGCTGCCAATAGGAGCATATTCCTCCTATTTAAAAATGACTTTACATGAAATGAATACTTTTCATGTCACATCCCGGGATGAACACTGAACTACATCCCTAACCCCCTCCCTTTATTTTTGAGGCAGCATCTCACTAAAGTCACCAAGTTTCCCAGGCTAGACTCAAACATATGATCCTCCTGCCTCAGTCTCCCAGAGTGCTGAGATTATAGGCCTGAGCCACAGTCCTCGGCTATACATCTTATTTCAAATCAATCTTTCAATCCAACCCCACACAGCTCTGGAGCACCGAAGACATGATGTTACAAATGCTGCCCCTGTGCTGTGCCCCCTACACACACTGCCAGGGCTCCCAGAGTCTGGCTGATCTAGGAGGATCTGGGACCCCCAGCTCCACCAGGGGCCAAGTGGCCAAGGGACACACAGTACATGGGGTAGGGGATGTGGCTCAATGGTAGAGCAATTGCCTAGCATGCTTTAGGCCCTGGGTTCAATCCCCAGCACTACAAAATAAATAAGTCGTTGTATCTTTTTTCTGTAGCTGGCCTATCAAATTACCATGAACTTAGTGGTCACTAACTCACTCTCTCTGGTTTTTTTTGGTACCAGGGATCGAATTCGGGTCCTTGTGCTTGCTCACTCTCTTAGAGTTCTGGTCCACAGTGAATTTTAAGAGGCTGAAATGAAGGATCCCAGGGCTGGTCCCTTGGGGAGGTGCAGGGGACAGTCTCCCTGGTCATTTCAGCCCTCCAGGCTCTGACTTTCTCTTGCTCCTGCACGTCACTGTATTCCCTGCTTTTTTGTCACCTTATGTTCCCACCTTTGGCCCTCTTGCCTCCCTCTTACAGAGCCCTCATGACTCCATTAAGAGCCCATCCAGATAACCTGGGGCCAGTCTGCTGTCTCAAGGTACCTAACTTAATCACATCTGCAAGGCCCCTTTGGGCTGCCACAGGTCCCACAGATTAGGATGTGGTGTTTGAGGGAGGCTGTTCCTCAACCTACCGCAGCGCCAGACATGACTTTGCCGTGTTCCTTTGACTAAGAATCACTGAGTCGATTCCTAATCCAGGATCCAGTGGGATCCCCAGACTGCACAAAAGTGACATGCTGACCGTCACATCAACATGACATGCTTTCAGCCAGAGTTTGTGCCTACTGGCCAGTGCAACCCCGACAGTGCCTGCTCTTTAATAAAGAGTATGGAGGCAGGGAATGTTGTCCAGCCACTCTCCCTGTCACATTCTGCCCCCCATGAATCTATCAGTCAGAGATGGAGGCTCGACCTCCCCATCCCCACCCCCATCCCACCAGGTTTAAGATAAGACTTGGGAAATAACCTGCAGCTTTTCTCTCACCCATGTCCCAGCTGCTGTCAGCCAATCCAGTGGACTTGCCGCTAAATTCGTCATCCACTGTCACATCCCCCAGTGGGGCTCTGACAAATGTGAAGAACAGCTTGAAGAGACCATCAAAAACTGCCTTTCGGCGGCTGAGGACAAGAAGCTGAAGTCTGTCGCATTCCCACCCTTCCCCAGCGGCAGGTAGGATGGGCTCCTCCCAGTGAATTCTTTCAGCCTTATCCCTAGGAACCAGCCATTCCTGACTTGCTTCCCCTTGCTCTGCCCAGCCAAGGGCTGCTGGCACAACTAGGCATGTTAGCCAGGCGACAGAGTAAGAACCCCAGTTTCCCACCTTCCACCCATTCAGAGACAGCCTCCTGGTCCTCAGTGGATGGTTGCTACAGCTCAGGCCAGCTCCGCTGCCTCCTTTATGTCGACGCCCTGATGAAAAGGCAGCTGAAGGAGGTGCCATGGGCAGAGGCAAGGTAGCCTGGTAATTTTCGAGAGCCTGCTGTGTTCCAAGCCCACCCCCTCACACACACCAGCTGTCCACATCTAGAACACATCAGAAAACACCAGGTTGAGAGGACTTGCTACTCCCAAGTGTGGTCCATGGACTAGCAGCAGCAACATGGCTTGGTTAGAGTGTGGAACCCCAGTGTCCTCCCCCTAGACCTGCTTCAGAGTTCCCGGGAGCAGCAGCGCCAGGAGGCTGAGGCTTGAGGAACACATCCAGAGTGGGGAGAGGTAGCCTGCAGGCTTGCTTACGAGGGGGCTGGCTCCGTACACAGGTCTGATCCTGGGAAGGCTGAGAGAGAGCTAAAGGCCTAGCACCTGCTGGAATCATCTCCCCACAGCAAGCAGCACTGGCTCTCTCTCCACAGCTCAGGCCTAGAACCACAGCCTGACACAGTCTCCACTGGTGGGAGCCCAGGCTGTGTGTCCCATACTGGGAAACTCATCCCTCAGAAGAATCGGCCTGAGGCAGGCCCATCTAGGACTTTTCCCAGCAGTCTCAGTGGCTGACCCCAAATGGTACTATGGCTGTGTCCCTGGGGGCTGGTAGACAGCATTATCAATGGCCCTGCCAAGAGCTGCTGCTGAAGTTACACTGGCAAGTCCTTGTGAGTTAATGAGGGAGAGATCAGATGCATGAAAAGGAATTTTTGAAGGCGAGCTTTGAGCCTACATTTTTGCCCTTATTAAACAATCTATTTAGCATGTAAAGCAGTTTTGAGGGAGGTAATAAAACCAATTATTTGCTTTTTTTTTTTTGCTGTACTGTGGATTGAACCCAGGTCTTTCATACTGTGCTATATCCCTAGCCCTTTCTGAATTTTTCTTTTTTAATTCTGAGTCACTAAGTCTCCCAGGCTGGGGTCAAACTTGGAATCCTCCTACCGCAGCCTCACACAGTGTTAGTGTTACAGGCCTGCACCGCCATGCCCACCCTCTGTTTGCTTTTTGATGACCAGGTCTTGTGACTACTTAATTGCTAGGGCTTTTACAGCCAAGTTCTACTTGATTCAGGTGATACAGATTCCAATACAGAGCACAACTCACCTGCCGGCTCCAACTGTGCTAAAATCATCACACCTGAGCAGTGTAGCCTCCCCCACACCATCCACCCCCGGGCTGGCCCTTTGAGAGCTGGTGCTGGACCAGCCCTGCACACAGCAAGGCCACACGCATCACCCTTCTGCACTGAGTAGGTCTCAGGGACCAAAATGACATGGGCTTTCCTTTTGCCTTGGCACAGAAACTGCTTTCCCAAACAGACAGCCGCTCAGGTGACCCTCAAGGCAATCTCGGCCCACTTTGATGACTCGAGCGCGTCATCCCTGAAGAACGTGTACTTCCTGCTCTTCGACAGTGAGAGCATCGGCATCTACGTGCAGGAGATGGCCAAGCTGGACATCAAGTAGCCGCACTCCAGCAGGGACAGAGGAGCGACGTCACGTCACGAGAGTGGGTTATTTTTTAAAAGGAGCAAGAAAGGTGACGGCAGGGGGCAGAGGGCAGCTGAGAGGGACGCGGGTAGCAGAAGCGGCCGGAGCAGGTCCTGCCCATGGCGCCTAGGTGCCCCCTGCGTTTTATATTCTCCTTATAAAGGGCCTTGGTCCATGCCGAACCAGGTCTCTGCCAGGGGTTTCTTTCCATGTTTTCTTCCGGTTGTTTTAGAACTTTTTAAAAAAGAAATCAGACCTCGTTTTAGATTTATAGCATTGACTTTTACACACACTCAAAAAATCCTTTCAAGATCCTTCAATCTTTTGTTCCTCCTTTCTCTGAGGGAAGAGGGCATGAGGGTGACTTGGGTTTGGGGGCTGCCTGTGTTCCATGGTGGAGAGAAGACGGGAAAGACGTCTCACTGGTGCTTTTCTCTTGTTTCCGTGTCCCCTCCCACCCCTACCCCCCTGACCCCTATAATATCTGTAACTACTCCTAAAACGTTTTTGCTTCGGGCTTATTTTGGTTTCGTTTTGTTTCGTTTTGTTTTTAAAGAAAATGAAAGGAAAAAATAAAAGATCCAGTGTCTTTCTTATAATGTGTTCTTTTATCGCAACATTTTTCCTCTATTTAGAAAACTCGATCCCATGGAAGGAAACTTCTACAATGTTCTAAGTCAACAGCACTAGCCCTGGCCCTGACAGGCTGAGATTCCCACCGTGCTGGCTCAGGCAGCAGGTCCAAAGCCTTGGGTCACCATCTGGGAGAGGCACGTGTCTCACTTAGGCCTGGGCACCAAAGTAGAACACACCCTGGGCCACAGTCTAAATGGGGATGGATGGAGAACCCTAGAGAAGCGGGAGTCCCAGGGACTTTGTCTGCCCCCGTACCCAAAGGCTACCATTGCTTGCTAGCAATGAGGAGCAGGCCAGGGGAGTCAGGCCCAAATGCACTCAGATAAATTCAGCAACCTCTTCTGCAGTGAACATTTAACTGAGATGGTCCAAAATAGGCTCTCCCACCCTGGAAGATCTCTCCACATAGAGGAGTCACTGACATACCTTACCACAGCCAGCGGCAGACAGGCCGCCATATAGCTGGCCCTGCAGAAAAGTAATGCTGGGGTTGACCACAAAACAAACACAAAACAAAATCCTTCACTGTCACCTGGATTTTGTCACTTACGAAGTTGCCCGAGGATATACGTGTGAATCTGCTGCAGAAGCCCACCTGCTCCCTGGAGGTTGATTAACCAGGTGGCACCCTGCTGTGTCTCTGCTCCCTTGCCTGAAATATTCCCACAGAGGGAAGGCCAGGCGGCAGCCTCAGCCCTGCCAGCTCCGAAAAGCTCACTGTTGGGCTAGCTGGGAGGGAAACTGTATACAGTAACTCTTTCTTCTTAAAAGTACCTATGGTATATAGTTAGGATCTAAAACTGGAGTAGAGAAAGGCTCACAAGGATTAAAGAGTGCAGGGACTACCTGGGTGTAGGGGCGCACACTGTAGTCCCCCACTCCTCGAGAGGCTAGGCTGGGAGGATCCCAGGAGTTCAAGGCCAACCTGGGCAACAGTGAGACCCTGTCTCAAAGGAAAAAAAAGAGAGACTAACCATAATTCAGGGAGTTTAAAATGAGGCTGCTGTTAACAAGCTGCATATTGTAGGATGTGTGGGCTTCCCCACCCCAATGTGATGGGAGAGGGGTCCGTGCAGACCATCTCTCCCCGTGCCCTCCTCTGCTGGCCTCATTTTGCAGGCTGTCCTTCTGGTGTGCGCAGACGGGATGGCAGCCACCAGGAGCACAGTTCTCTCCCTACCCTGAGAGCTCTGCGCACCACACCCACTGGAGCCTGGAGTATAGAATTCTGCCTGTGCCGGACCCCCAAACCACCCTTTCAGCCAGCACAGCTGCAGCCAGTCCTCCCAGACCCAGAAAGGATCCTCTAGATAGAGTTTTTTTTAATTTTTCTCTCGCTCTCATACTCTCACTCTCTAGATTTCTCATCTTTGGGTTTACACAAGTTATATTTCCAGACAGGACATCACTGGCATCTCACTCCAGAGAAAGAAAGAGGCTTTTCGCTTCCGCCCCTTGGCACGAGTCAGGTGGGTCCAATTGTCAAACGTCCCTCACCGGTGCGCAGCGGTGCCAGGTCTCCCACCCAGCCTCCCTGTCAAGGCAGAGACTGCCTCATGGTTTTCCAGCTTGTGGAGACGAACAGGTCCCTGCTCTTGGCCAGCCGAACCATGAGCCGACCCACATAGAAGCCACTGATCTGGCCCACGCCATCATTTCTGCCCATGGACAGGAGGAATGTCAGCGCACCTGTAGGGAAGACACACACATATAAAGCAGAATCCCACTTCAGGGTCATGGGTGGGCCTGCAATTCCCAGGGCATAAACCCTTCTCAGACCTGCAGAATCAGAAATATGTACAACTTTTAGGAAAGATGCTGAGTCCCTGACTGATCTCTGTCTTTTCTACACAGGATCTCACTAAGCCACTAAGCTGCCTGTGCTGGACTCAAACCTGCAATCCTCCTTGCCTCTGCCTCCCACGGTTCTGGGGTTACAGGCGTGGGCCACCATTCCCAACTTAACTGATTTTTAAAGAACTTCAGGAAAATGTTCCTGTCATTGGCCTTGAGAATTTGGTGTGCTGGTCAGTCATCTTGTAGCCCAAAAAGACTTCCCCATGTACTCCTAAACTCTAAAAACTGTGACACACCCAAGCCTCCTTACCTGGCTTATAGGTCTTAAGGGGCCTCTGCTTCATGGAGTTGACAATGTTGGCCACAGCGACGTTGGCATGGAGGCCAGCGAGATAGGCCATCTTGGGCTCGTTCACATCGGCACAGTCGCCAATGGCGTAGATGTTGCTGTAGCCCTCAACCTGCAGGAACTCATTCACTCTCAAAGCCCCGCTGCTGGCCAGTCTGCTCTCTGTAGGCAAGAAAATACACAAGCAGGCCCCTGAGTGGCCATACTGGGCCCTGGGCGCTGGCTCAGTCACCCTCAAGAGGCCATCGTCCCCTTGCATTCCTGCATACAGACTCTTCCTACAAGGTAAAGGGTACCCCAGGAAGTGCTCAGAGCTTAGCCAGTTACAGTAATCGGCCAAGTACTAAATTTTCACTTCATCATAGACTAGAATTTTAAAATAAACCCAGGCCTTTAATACGTGATGAACTGCTTTTCTTTTTAAGGGACTCAACAAAACTTATCTTTGAAAATACGTTAGAATCATTAGGTGCTAAATTCTGGGTTCTCTGTCCACTATATCCCTCTGTTCTCGCCCTGGTACACAGCCTAGACTGACCTCCTGGCCATAGAATAAACACTTCCTACTGGACCCAAGGCAGGAGCTCCTGATTAGGAAAAGGTGCTCAGAAGTAAAGGACAGAGACCTGGGGGTGAGGCAACCACACAACCTAGCCACTGAGTTTCCTACACAGCAGCTTAAACATACATCAGTCCACCAGGCCTCCACTTACAAGCGGCTAAATAAATGTTGCGTTTTTTTAAATGAGGCCATTATTAGAGCCCCTATCCTCTAAAAGGTCTTGCAAGCTAAATTAACCAAAAGTTTGAATCTGGATTTGGAGCGAGCAGGACACTTGTGAACCGTGAAAGACCTGGCCCCAAATTGCCTCTGCATATACATAAAAGAGAAAGTAAAAGAGAAAGTACAGCAGCAGAATGGAATCATTCTCATCTCCCAGAAGACTGTTCCCACCTCTTACCACTAGGGGGCAGCCCTAAAATTAGTCTCCTTTTGGTCTCCCACCACCTGGAGCTAAGTCATCATCACAGCTGTGGAAAGCTCAGAAAGCAGGGACCCACCCTGAAGTTAAAATTCAAGGTCACCATTCAGAAGAGTGTAAGTGAGCTGCTGAGATGAAGGAGAAAGGCAGGGGGTGCTGATTTAGGGGGCGAGGACTGTGGGCATCTCAAAGGAGTACTGGAAAGTGAGAAGTGGCCTGGGGACCTAGGCCATGCCTGGCCACCTGCTTACCGAAAGCACTGCCATAGGCAGAGCTGTTGATCTTGATGCCGATGCAGGGAATCACCAGGTTGGTGGCCACCTCGGTGCCCTTGTCCGTCTGCACTTTGATGTAGTCCCGATACTCGCTGAGAGGCAGCTCCTCCAGGTTGTTCACCCGCTCACCTGTCAGGGGGTCCATGAGCAGGAGGCTGGCACAGGCTCCTCCTCAGTCCCCTCCACTGCCCCAGAAGCACAATGTGGACATCTAGGCCCAAGGGACACAACTGGAGGAAAATTCCAAGGGTAGCTGGAGGGAAGCAAGGCTGAGCTTCTAAGAAATCCCAGGAAGAGCTGATCAACAGAAAGCCCCAGCATGTGTCCCTGAATGACAGCCACCCCCTTTCTGTGCAGGAGGACATCTCCCAGCACACCACCCACAAGGGTGAAGCAGGAAAAGGCAGAAGCTGGCTTCCTGTCCTCACGCGCTGACATGACAGTAAGGCGCTAACAGTCCTCGTGACCAGTTACACAAGGAGGCTGTGACAGCGTGAAGGACTGTCATAACAGATGCCTCCACCCCTCCAACTTCTCTACAAACATGAGGAGGCTGAGGGCCAGTGTAGTACAGTGTGGGCATCACACCACTGGATGAAAGCCACACTCACCATCCTCAAAATGCAAACCAACAAGCTCATTCCCTCTACCACAGGGACAACAAAACAAGGGGCAACTCCTTTAAATGCACTTAAAAAAAAAATCAGTCAGCAAATACACATCCGCCATCTGCCCCATGCCCAAAGCAATAGCATTGCCTCCATGACCTGGGCCTCCAGCTGGACAAGGTTCACATGGGCTCTGGTGCTCCCAATCATTTCCAGTGCTCCTTGATGAACCCTGGGTACGGTGGCAAAGAGGAAGGGGGTGAGGTCACACGTACTTAGTACCAGCTGCACGCCCTTCCGGAGAAGTATCTCTTTCACTTCCTGCCGCACACAGGGCAGGAGCTCCTTGTCAGCCAGGGATACTTGGGAGTGAATGAGAGTGACCTAGGGACAAAACAACCACAGGACAACCCTTGAGTATCCGGCTCACAGGAACACCTGCCTCCTCCCCCACCTCCAGTTTACTACAGGGGAAACTGAGCCACAGAGAAGCAATCTGCACAGTGCTGGAACTAACTAGTAAGAACCCAGGCTCGATCCATGTCTCCTAATCTAAGACTCTCTCAGTACCACCTCACTTCCCAGGGTCACAAACCACACCACACCCAGGGCCAACTTGGAAATTATTCTCAAGCATTCTTGGGTGCTTATAATTAGGTAATCTACATATAAGCCATAGGCATTCCCACTTACACCAGGTTCATGTCGACATTACAGCTGGTTCTAAAAGTAGCACCCCGGGTCTGCTTGCTGCCTGGGTCAGCACAAGGCGGGAGAGACAGCCTGTGAACATGTCCGAAGCCTGGCTTTCAATCAGACAACCCATATCTGAAACTCACACATCTCCCAAAGACTCACTAACATGGGAAGTTCGTAATGATGAATTAAAAAATGTGTATGCAAGAGTTAACTCCGGACATATGAATTCCTCAATAAAGAGTGGCTGCTAGCTCGGCCTTGAGGTCAGAAGGTCCCAGGTGGCTGTGCCCTGCTCCGTCCAGCTTGCCCCACCCACTTGCATCCACAACGCTGTGAGACACCCCCCCCAGGGCACACCCACCAGCCACCTGCTTAGCTGCCCGGCTTCTGCAATAACAGCACCCCCATACCCTGCCTCTGCCCTCTTGGCTGTGCAGCTACCTGGTTCCACACTACAGAGGAACGGGGACATAAAGGCCACTGTCCTGAGAGAGGGCCTCTCTCAGGCTCCCTGATGAAAACTGAAGCCCACAGGAAAAGTGAAGAGAATCTCTGCAATAAAGGAACACCAGACCACTGTACTTGGTAAGTTGGAGGGATCATCACCTCCCATCGGAACCTGGACTATCTTCAAGGGAAAGGCAGTTGGAACCTGCAGTACAACCTTGCAGAGTTCAACCCTGCAGGAGGACAGGGAGCTCAACTTGGGATTTGCAGACAGAAATCTGCCTGAATCTCACGAGTCTGCGATTGGCTTACTGAGACTCACTGACTTACAACTGCACTGCTGCCCACATTGTTTATTGTGACAGCAGAGACATACCCTCAAGGAGGCCCTTCATTTTTGTCTTTTATTTGTTATTTTCAAAATTACCACTGTTTTTTTGCTCTTATTTTTGATTTTTTCTCTTCTTTTTCTACTCTTTTAAAATTTTTGGTTTTCTCTTTTCTTTCTCTCTTTCTCTCTCCCTCACTCCCTTGCTGTCCCACATTGTTCTTCATCTCCATTTGTGTTCCTGTTCTGGCCCTAATTCATATTTCTTTTTTATTTTTCTTTACTTCTATGTCCTTCTCTCACTTGTGCCCTCTGTCCTCACTGCTAACTTTTCCCTATCCCTCTACCTATTCCTCACTCCACAACTCCTTCTAACTCCCCATCCCGAAGGGTAAAGTTGCTATATTGAAGAGTTTATTCACTATAAACATATGTTGGATTGGTTCTTGATCTTGATTTAATTCACACAGTTAAAGGTGATAGGTTAATAACCACCACAAATTATCATTTTCTAAAAGATACTTGATGCTATTGTGTTGCTGATTGTATCACTTGGGCTAAGATGTTGTGATTGATCTAGTCAGTTGTCCTTCCTGGTATAATGAAAATGAGATAGCCTCAGAGCTATTAGAGATTCAAAACCTAAAGACCAGCTATACCTGGAAGACACCTCTGAGAAGCAGTTATTCCATAAGGGTTCTAAATACATCAACAAAGATACTTACAATAAGCAACTTCAAAGTATCAACCCAGGAACTACAGCAAGGACAGTACCAAAAACAAAAATGAGAAGACATTTAAGCAAGTCACAAACTCAGAACTTCCACCCCACAAAAGGCAAATTATGAGGGAAACGAGGTGGCAAAGTCTGATAATCAACCTCCTGGACACCCTGAACTGATAGCACAGGAAGAAACAAAACAGATGTATGAGGCTCTAGAAAAAGTCAAAGCAGGAATAATCTCCAATAACTACAGAGATGGTGAGCAGAGTGAAAGACATGATTAGAGGTTTTAGAACAGAAACAGATAAAAAAAACAGATGAGCTCAGAAACATGCTGGAAGCCAGGAATGCCCAGCATAAGAAAGAAATGGAAACCATGATCGGCCAACATAAGAAAGAAATGGGATCCATGAAACAGATTCAAACAGATGTTCAGATTAAAAACTCCACTGAAAGCATGCAGAGCAGATTAAGGGAATCTGAAGATAGAATATCAGATATAGAAGTCAGGATTGTGGTTAAGGACCATGAAAATAGAGATTTCTTACAAATAGGGAGGGCCGGGGATTTAGCTCAGTGCTTTCGCTGCCTGCTGGGCAAGCGCAAGGACCTGAGTTCAATCCCTGGTACCAAAAAAAAAAAACACTAAGGGACCACAAGAAATCAATCCAGCAGCTACTACATGATGCAAAGAAGAATAACATAAGACTGATAGGAGTTCATGAAAAAACAGGAGAAAGTACAATTGACATAAAAAAAACCTGTTCACAGAATAGTAGAAAACTTCCCAGACAGAGGTGAAGTGGACATACAGATAAGTGAGGCATATAGAACTCCAACTAGCTATGATCAAAATAAGTCCACGCCTAGACAACTAATAGTCAAGATCTCAGAAAACCAACAGAAGAACAAAATCCTACAGGCAGTTAGAGAAAACAAACCAATCACCTACAAAGGAAAGCCCATCAGAATCACAGCAGACTTCTCAACACAAACCCTCAAGTCAAGGAGAGCCTGGAGTGAAGTATTTCAAGCCCTAAGAGAAAATAACTTCCAACCTAGACTGTTGTATCCTGCAAAATTATCTTTCAAAATCGATGGGGAAATTAGATACTTCCAGGACAAAGAACACCTGGGAAATTTCATGAACACCAAACCAGCACTCCAAAAATTTCTAAGCAATATCCTAGAAAAAGACGATAAAGGTCACAACTCCATGAGGCCCAACAGAGGGAAGCCACCAGGCAAGGTAAGAAACTAAAAGGAAAGGGGGAAAAAATAAGAAATAAAAGAGCCAACAATAGTAAAACATAATGACAAGGATGAGTCAATATCTATCAATTATAAC